TTTTTAATCCTTGAATAACCATCTCAGGGCACTCATACTACATTTTGAAATCCTTTATCTACGTATCACAATCCTGGGAAGTAGACATTAATATTCCTACTTGATAGATTAAAATAACAGACTTAAAGCTACTATTGTTGGAATTTCCATGTCCTGTTGCCAATGACTAATTCAAGGGCTTGGTGTTCTTTAAAAAGAATTCTAAGAGCTGGGCACCAGTGCTCACACCTGTAATCCTGCCTACTCAGGAGGCTGAGATTTGAGAATTGCAGTTCGAAGCTAGACTAGGCAGCAAACTCCATGCAACTCTATCTCCAATTAACCAGCAGAAAACCCAAAGTGGCACTGTGGCTCAAAGTGGTAGAGAGCTAGCCTTGAGAGAAAGAGCTGGACAGCGTCCAGGCCCTGAGTTCAAGCTCTATTATCAACAAAACAAAACAAAACAACTCTAGTACAGGATTAGAGTCCAAATTCAGCCTTTCCCAAGCAACCACACTAAACACCATGTGGGTAAGTAACATCCAAACAGCTGGTTTAAAATACAGAGTCTAGCTGGGTGCTAGTGGCTCCTGGCTTTAATATTAGCTACTAAAGAGGCTCATATTTGTGGATCACTGTTTAAGTCAGTCAGATCAGGAAAAATCTGTGAGACGAGACTCTTTATCTCCAGTTAACTAGCAAAACCCAGAAGTGGGGCTGTGGCTTAAGTGGTAGAGCCTTATCCAGCATGTGCATGTGTGGACACACAAAAAATACATAGTTTACCCTGTTGGTGTGGCTCATGCCTGTAATTCTAGCTGCTCAGAAAGCTGAGGTCTGATGATTGTAGTTAGAAGCCAGTCAAAGCCTGGGCAGACAAATCCGAGAGACTCTTATTTCCAAGTAGCTAGCAAAAAGCTGAAAGTAGAGGGGGTGGCTCAAGTAGTAGGGCGCCATCCTTGAGCAGAAAGGGTCAAGCAAGGGCTTGATAAGGCCTCTGAAAAGCCCCAGTACTGGCACAAAAACTTTAAAAAAGATTCTAGGCCTTTCTCTTGCCAGTTGGTAGCTCTATCACTTTTGAGCCTCTCCTCCAGCCCTGCCTTTTTGCTGGCTATCCTGGAGATCAAGTCCAATAGACGCTTCTGCCCCAGCTGGCTTTAACGCCCTTCCTCCGGATCTCGGCCTCCTCAGCAGCTCACACACCCCTGGACCCCAGACACTCCTTTAAACCCGCCAGAGGGCAGCCCGTTTTCGCTTTAATTAAAGCTTAACAGCCTACGTCAGGAGTCTGACACGACTGAGGGTTCCACTCCCAAATCTAAACATTCCCTCTCCCCACCCTCCCCCCCGCCCCCCGAGCCCGGACAGAGCCAACAACCTGCGAATCACTGAATCTCTCTAGGCCACGCTGTCCAGCATGGGCGCGGGAAATTAACGTCTCCCCACCCTCACCGAGGGTCACCCGGGGACAATCAGGGGAACACCGCCCCCTCCCCCGCCCCGCTCAGCCGAGGGTGGACGGTCCCGACGCCGCCCCTCCGCAGGTGCGAGGCGTCGACTCACCTGCTCCGTCCTGCGGGGCTGCCCCGGGCTGCGCGCCGGGTGGGCCGGAGCTCGGTGCGGAGAGCCGCGGGGCCCTCAGCCCCCAGCCCCGCACGCGCCCCCCCAGGCCCGTCCCGCGCGCCGCTCACCTGCGCCAGCAGCGCGTTGCACACGAGCTGCAGCCGATCGGGGGTGATGTCCACCGGCACGTCGAACGGGGAGCCCAGCAGCTGCCCGCCCTCATCCTGGAACTGCACGAGCAGCCGCTGCACGTCGCGCACCTCCACCGCCGCCTCCTCCTGCGCGATCGAGCGAGAGTGGTCGTCAGTCAGCCCCCAACTCCCACCCCGCCCAACTCCCAGCCTCGATTCCCGCTTGGGGAGCCCCTCCCGGCGCCCCACAGCCGGCGCCCCAGCACACCCACCGCCGCCATGCTGCCTTCCCCCACGTGGACACGAAGGGCCGGACGGAGCGTCGCCTGCCAGGGCTGCGGAATGTCGCCGCCGCTCACAGCGCCCGCTGGCGCTGGGAGGAGAATCCGGCCGCGTCCCGCCCGCAGCCGTCAGGTGGCTCCGCTGTCAGTCACGTGGCCTACCCGGAGGCCTTCTGTCCCTCTTCTGGGAGTTAGGCCGCTTGTTGTAGTTAATTGGAGATAAAAGTCTCGCGGACTTTCCTGCCTGGGCTGGCTTTGAACCGCGATCCTCAGATCTCAGCTTCCTGAGTAGCTAGGATTACAGGCGTGAGCCACCAGGGACTGGCTACTCTGAGTATCTTTCGACATCACTATTTCCTCACCTCTACCCTTGCTGTGGACACACCTAGGGAAGAGGCCATGAGAACTGCGGTGCCTGCCTGCGAGCAGAGCAGAGTCCTCGCCAGAAACAAACCTTGGTGGCACCAAGACCTCGGATTTCTCAGCTCCAGAGATGTGAAAACATATCAGTGGTCTAATCCTCCAGCCCATGGCATTCTCCCATGGCAGCTCCAGTAGTCTAAAAGGAAGCTTCTGTTTCTTGAGATCTAGCCATAAATATTCATTAATCACCTTTCCTTTATGATCTTTTGCCTTATTATTCATGCTAGCATCACAACATGTGGGACCAGGGCAGGGGTTCTGTCTATCCATTTATCTGCCCATTTACCAAGCACTTGTTAGACTGGGCACACTTGTTGTCCCAGGTACTCAGGAGGCTGAGGCAAGTAATGCAAACCCAACCTGGAAAACATAAGGAGATCTCCATCTCAATTCCCCTCCCCTCCAACCAAGAACTAAACAAGAAAAATCCGTGTGTTAGGGCTGGACTTTATGTTCAGCTGGAAAGTAGAACCTGCCAAGATCGCAGAGCTAGGAGCACAATCAAAAGTGGGTGATCATCCTCTACTGCTGCTACTGCTTCTTTCTTCTTCTTCTTTTTGTCAGTCATGGGGCCTGAACTCTTCAGCTCAAGGCTAGCGCTCTCCCACTTGAGCCAAAGTGCCACTTCCAGCTTTTTCTGCTTATGTGGTGCTGAGGAGTCGAATCCAGGACCTCATGCATGCAAAGCAAGCACTCTACCACTGAGCCACCTTCCCAGTGCCCCTATATTTCTTCTTTAGTGTCATATCTATATATGTATATGTATGTGTATATACATATGGTATATTTGGCATCAAAGTACTAATTTATGCATCACATTCATTCATTCCCTCAGGAGACTCTTTTCTCCAGAAGAGTATGGAGCTGCCTGAGTTGTCCTGGACCTCTAGGGCAGAGGCTAGAACTTGGAGATACTGAAGGGCACAAGTTCTTCTTTTTCTCCTCCTCCTCCTCCTCCTCCTCCTCCTCCTCCTCCTCCTCCTCCTCCTCCTCCTCCTCCTCCTCCTCCTCCTCCTCCTCCTTTTCCTGCTTTTGGCAGTCATGGGGCTTGAACTCAGGGTCTGGGCACTGTCCCTGAGCTCTTTTTGCTCAAAGCCAGCACTCTACCATTTTGAGCCATAGCATCACTTCTGGTTTTCTGGGGGTTAATTGGAGATAAGAGTCTCACAGACTTTTCTGCCTGGGCTGGCTTTGAACCATGAGCCTCAGATCTTAGCCTCCTGAGTAGCTAGGATTACAGGCATGTACCACCAGTGCAGCTTAAGGGCATGAGTTCTGAGTAGTGAAGTAGCCTTGTAAGGTCACCTTGGGATCCTTTAGCGGCAAAGACACATCACAGAAGACCCTTCTGTGGAATGCATAGTTCTTGTCCTGATACGAGTCTCTTCTTGTCCCACAAGGTTTTTGGTGACATGGAAGGTTACCATCCTTGGACCTGACCTAGGCCTTGTCTATGGGAGTCTGATGGGGGAGAAACACAGCCTACCCTCAGAGAGTTCCCAATCTGATGGAGGAGGTGGGCTGAATATAGTCCCCAGCCACCAAGAGGAAGGGACAGGAGAGAGCATGCATACCCAAACAGTAACCTATTCACAGTGGACAGAATTGGCAAGTCAGTTGTCTTTCTGAAAAGCAAGAACATGTTCAACAAGGAAATTCCAGAACAGTAGGATGCAAGGGAACAAGTCTAAGCAGACGAGGGGAAGCATTTTCCTCCGCCTTGTCCTCCCCCTCCCTCCAGAAAGGCATTTCTAGAAGACTCCAGTTGGTTGGGGAGCTGGGCAGCTGCTCTGTGTCCAAGTCTATCAGCCCCTCAGCTGTCACTCTGCTCCCAAAATAGCAGGGACAGGAGGAGGGGGAGGTTGTTTATCTAGGACAGTGTGTGTGTGTGTGTGTGTGTGTGTGTGTGTGTGTGTGTGTGTGTATGTGTGTGTGTGTGTGTATAAAAGGGGCATTATAGCTGTACCCAGGAAAAGTTCCCGTCCTTTCTGGATCTTTCTCTGTCTTTAGGGGTATGAATCCTCAGGATTGTCCCTGAGCAGGGTGCTCAAGAGGCGGAGGCTAGACAACACCTGCACGTGGTCATGACTGTCCAGTCCTGGGAGGGGGAGGGCCCTAGGTATCAATGACAGACTCCAGGGCCACCTGCCCCAGTGGCCAAATATGGTATGGAGCCACTGGCTGGGGTGATAAAGTCTCTTGGATAGGGGCTGGGAGAGGCAGACGGAGGCCACTGGCCGAGGTGGATCCCAGAACTCAGAAGTAGCACCAGGAAGAGGAGGAGGCCTCACAGAGACAGTGAGCTGGCAGCTGCAGGGAGGCGGGGCAGGGAGGAGGCCTGTGGACTTCCAGGCCTTTGTGAGACCGTGGGCCTTTAGTGTGGTGGTTTCACCTACCCCGGCTGGGAGGGATGGAAAGAGAGACATGTGAACTCTGACACCTCTCACTGGAGCAGAGCTCTGGGCAGATGTGAAAATGTCCTTCAGGGTCAATGGGTTTGGGGGTGCTAGAGGTGGATCTCATCCCAGAGAATCCCCATCCTCCATCCTGGTGGTGGAGGCCTGGAGTCCTGCCCTGAGTCTGGAGCCAGGACTGGTGAGACAGGGCTGCTCTGTCCCCACAGATGGCAGAGGCAGAGGCAGCAAAGCTGAAGGAGGAGGGCAACCGGCATTTCCAGCGTCAGGACTACAAGGCAGCCACCAAAAGCTACAGTCAGGCCCTGAAGCTGACCAAGGACAAGACCCTGCTGGCCACTCTCTACCGGAACCGGGCGGCCTGTGGCTTGAAGACGGTATGAGGCCAGGTGGCAGTCCCAGAGGGTAGGGGATTGTTGGGGATGGAGGCAGGGCTGTGGTAGCAGTCCCTGGTCCCAGCCATTAACCCTGAGCCCCTTGGGTTGGAGAGGTGTCTCCTACCACCTGACCCCACTTCTCTGGAGATACAGAAATTCATCCAGCTCAGAGTCAGCCCAGCGTAGAGGCTGTTCACATGTTATTTGGTGACATCTTAATTACTGCCACAGGCTCAGCAGCCCTGTTGCTATCCTGACTGTGGCTCAGGGAACCTCTCATCTCCAGAGCCGCAGGTTTAAAAAGCCAGCTTTTTTCATAGCTAGACACCTGTGGCTCAGGCTGGTAATCCTAGCTACTCAAGAGGCTGAAACCTAAGGATCAATATTAGAAGCCAGCCTACGAAAGAAAGTCTGTGAGACTCTTATCTCCAAAGAAATCAGCAAAGCCAGAAGTGGAGCTATGGCTCAAGTGGTAGAATGCCAGCCTTGAACAAAAAAGCTAAGGGACAGAGCCCAGGCCTTGAGTTCAAGCTCCAGGACCAGCACAAAACAAAATAAACAAATAAAAACCCTAGCCACTACTGTGAGCTCCTAATTGCACCAGGAAATCCAAGGCTCTGAGGGCTTGATTCACTCGCCTGAACTCTCTCAGAGTTCTAGCAGAGCCAGAATTCAAACCTGGCTTTCCCTTAAGCCGAAGCCTATCCATTCTTTGCATCCTGGGCCTCTAATAGCCCGCAGCTGCTGCCTGGTTAAGCATCCCCCCCCCCCCTCCCTCTGGTTGTCTCTGCACTGAGTCCCTGTTAATCAAGCCCTCTTTCTCCTCTCTCTTTTCTCAGGAGAGCTATGTCCAGGCAGCTTCCGATGCCTCCAGAGGTGAGTGCCTGCTGCCTACATACCACACACACACTCATACCTGCCCCTACACCAGTCCCAGCATGTCTGTGCAGGAGTTTTTGAGCTGGTTACCATACTTTGGAGACACAGTGCTGGTTTGGAGTGGGCTAGGAAGGGCAGGAAACAGCTGGGGAAGGGACTGGAGGCTTCTGGGGAGAGTAGTGCTGGAAAGCAGCAATATTTTGCCCAGGGAAGGCAACTTTCAGGTGGATGGACAGTGGCCTCCAATGCCTTGAAGGCCTTCAAAAGGAGGAAGGATTGGATTTAATTTCTGGGTGGGGATATGATAAAAGGACACACAAGTGTGCACTGGAGCTTGAACTCAGGGCTTTGCACTCTCACTTGGCTTTTTTTTTTTGCTCAAGGCTGGTGTTTTATCACTTGAGGCACACCTCCATTTCTAGCTTTTTACTGGCTACTTGGAGATAAGAGTCTTGGAGGATTTGTCTGCCCCAGTCTGGGACTTTGAATTGGGATCCTCAGACCTCAGCTCCTGAGTAGCTAGGATTATAGGCATGAGCCACCAGCGTTCCAGCAAGAAGGGGAAAAGGTTTTCTGATTAATCTATTGTCTGTCTTGAAAAGGAGGGTGCTTCCTGTCACTGGTGTTGTGCAAGGGGGAATTGGATTAGCCCTTAGCCCCCCCCCCTTTTTTTTCCAGTATTAGGAAACGAACCCAGCACCTCTCACAATGCCAGGAAAGCGCTCTACCACTTGAGGATCCACAACCCCAGCCCTTTTGTTCATACTTTGTTTTTGAGATAGAGTCTTCACACTTATTCCAGGGCTGGCTATGAATTTGCAGTCCTCCTTCCTTTACCTCTTGAGTAGTTAGGATTACAGGCACGTGCTGCCACACCCAGTCAGATCACTCAGACTCTTTCAATCTGAGAGACAGTAAGTCTCTCCAACAAAGGGATAGTGTGGCCAGAAGGTCTGTGTGTGTAGACCATCTTCAGGGAAGACAGGATTCTGAGTCAGGGCAGTGGGAGTGGTGATCTGCAGCCTGGGCCCCTGAGGACCTGCCTGCCTCTCCTCTGCAGCCATTGATATGGACTCGGCAGATATCAAGGCTCTATACCGGAGGTGCCAGGCGCTTGAGCACTTGGGGAAGTTGGATCAGGCCTTCAAGGATGTGCAGCGCTGTGCTACCCTCGAACCTCGAAACCCAAACTTCCAGGAAACATTGAGGAGACTCAACACCAGCATCCAGGAGAAGGTAAACTGGACTATTTCACAGACCTCAGCTGCTCCTGGCCCCTTCCCAGGAGGGATGATCTGGAGAAGGGGACATCAGGACAGCCCCACCCCTACACTCTGAGCCGGAGACAGCAAATGGTACAGGCAGGCTCCATGGAGTAACTGGGCAGATGCACCCACCTGGGAGAGATCGAGAAAGGTGCTGTGTGATGCCATCTGAGGAAGCAATCCAGGACTAGAACATTGTTTGGGAAGAGGGGGAGAGGTGGTACTGGAATTTGAACTCAGAGCCTCAAGCCCTCATTCAGTTCGCTTACTCATGGCTAAGTCTAGAGCTACATCTCCAGCCTTGCTTTTTAGTGGATATTTTAGAGATGAAGTCACACACGCTTTTCTGTCTTTGAATAGCTATAGTTGGATCTCAGTCTTTTAAAAAAATTGTAATTAGCTGGGCGCTGGTGGCTCACGCCTGTAATCCTAGCTACTCAGGAGGCTGAGATCTGAGGATCGCAGTTCAAAGCCAGCCCGGGCAGGAGAGACCGTGAGACTCCTATCTCCAATAAACCACCAGAAAACCAGAAGTGGCACTGTAGCTCAAGTGGTAGAGCGCTTGCCTTGAGCTGAAGAGCTGAGGGACAGCGCCCAGGCCCAGAGTTCAAGCCCCACAACCGACAAAAAAAAAAAAAAATTGTAATTATAAAGGTGGTATACAAAAGGGTTACAGTAACATAAGTCATCCCTTTCCTCACTCTGGATCTGTCTTTTATGTAGCTAGGATTAGAGGTGTGAGCCACCAGCACAGAACAGAATTTGGGTCTTTTAAAATTTTAGGAGGCTTTTAAAAAAAATCTCATGAGCTAGATGTTGATGGCTCACCCTAGCTACGGAGAAGGCTGAGACCTGAAGATCACTGAAGCCAGCCTGGGCAAGAAAGTTGGTGAGACTCCTATCTCCAATTAATCACTCAAAAGCCAGAAATGGAGCTGTGGCTAAAGTGGTAGAGTACCAGCCTTGAGTGAAAAAGCTCAAGGACTTGGACACTTTCAAGCTCTGAGTTGGACAAGCTTGGATACTTCCAAGCTCTGAGTTCAAGCCCCACTATTAACACACACACACACACACACACACACACACACACACACACACACACACACACACAATTAGCATGTCTACAACATGCCCTTCCTCTCTTCTCAGGAGGACAAAGGCAGCAAGGATCCTAGGAGTCAGGGATTCTGAGGAGGGATAATGGACATGAGATCATATCTGGGAAGATGGAATATGTGTCTATACACACATTCCAGGGGGAGCCTGGACCAGAAGGGGAGGCATCCTGTATGGGAACTATTGATCTCCTGGGGACTCCTTGAGTATGTCAGTTTCGTCCCAGAAGAGGGAGTAGAAAGTACCTGTTCATTCAGCTCCCTGCTCCAAAACTCAGGAAATACAAGGTACCTGGAGCAGCTTCTGTAAGGGATCCACAGTATCCTGTCTGGGTACAGACTCAGGGCTGGGGAAAGAAGTGAGGGAGGGATCTGAGAAGTGGTAGACTAGGGTGGAGCCTCTACAGTACAGAGGCAGTGAGGGCAGATCCACACTAAGTCATGAGGAAAAAGGGGGAGCAGGTGAATTGCTCCATTAGGTCATGCCATGAAAATCTAGAGCAACGGGCTTGTGCTGGAGGTATGGTTCAAATGGTACAGCACCATGCTAGTAAGCCTGAGGCTGTAAGTTCAAACTCCAGTACCACCACGAAAATAAGCAAAACCAAAACAAACATTAGGGCTTCAACTTATCTGGAGTAATACTCAAAATCTACTTCTAGTAGAAGTGGCGCTGTAGCTCAAGTGGTAGAGCGCTCGCCTTGAGCTGAAGAGCTGAGGGACAGCGCCCAGGCCCAGAGTTCAAGCCTCACGACCGACAAAAAAAAAAAAAAATCTACTTCTAGTTTTTGAGCCTGGAGACTCCATTTCTATTTCAGTACTTATTTAAAAGTCGAATGGTTTGTGCTGATTGTTTACTCCAAAATTGGACTAGTGATCTTTGTTGTTCAAGACTAGGTAAGCTTCAGGGGAAAAGTGCTTGAACTCAGGGTCTGGGCATTGTCCCTGAGCTTTTGTACTCAAGGCTATCATTCTACCATTTTGAACCATAGCTCTATTTCTGGGTTTCTGGTGGTTAACTAGAGATAAGAGTTTCACAGACTCTCCTGCCCAGGCTGGCTTCAAACCGAGATCCTCATATCTCAGCCTCTTGAATAGGTGAGATTACAGATTTGAACCACCAGCAGCAGGATGAGGATGTAATTTTGCTCACCATTTTATCTCCAGCCTCTAGAACAATGCCTAGCACAAAGTTGTACCCTTTCTGGAATGAATATATGAATGAAGGTGCTGGGGTCCAGATTAAATAGCCTGACATCTGGTGAGATGAAATGGACATGGAACTGGAAGAAATTATGTGATCCACACACACACACTGGCCCCTCACCTGCCTCTCTCCGCTCCCTTTTCTCTCCTTAGCTCCATGTGCAGTTCTCCACAGACTCAAGGGTACAGAATATGTTTGAGATCCTCCTGGACCAAAACAGCGAAGCTGATAAGCGGGAAAAGGTGAGTGTCACATAGTGCCAGCCACCAGTGGATGCTCTCAACCTGCAGCTCTGGCTTCTTGCCGGCCTTTCTCTGGACAGGAAAAAAAAAAAGACCCCAAATTAATCCCATTAGAAAACAAGCAAGAACCATAGAAGGACCCGAGTTAAGAATAATCCATTGTGGGGAGACATCCAACAAGGTTGCATGCTATGTTATTTAAAACTGGGATACTTTGTTTATTGTGAACTTTTTGGCATTGATTTTTTAAAATATTGCATTGGATATTATTTATCTGGATTATTGAGAGGTTTTTTTTCTGCTACTCTAAGTTTTGCACTCAAGGAGAAAACTTCACCTGCCTCATAATTTCAGGCCTGAGAAACAAGGGCACATTCAAATAAAGTTTTATTGGTTAATTAATTAATTAAAGTACTAGAGATGAAACCCATGGCTTCACGCAGGCTTTGCAAACAGCTTACCACTTGAGCCACCCACCTCCAAGCCAAAGATTTTTTTTTTTGGGTCCGGTCGTGGGGCCTGAACTCTGGGCCTGGGCACTGTCCCTCAGCTCTTCAGCTCAAGGCTAGCACTCTCCCACTTGAGCCACAGCACCACTTCCGGCTTTTTTTCTTTTTGCTTATGTGGTGCTGAGGAATCGAACCCAGGGCCTCATGCATGCAAGGCAAGCGCTCTACCACTGAGACACCTTCCCAGCCCCCAAGCCACAAATTTTGTTTCTTTCATTTAGCGATAGTACAAAGAACTCATTTTAAAATATTAAATATATTTGCTGATACCATTATCTCTTCAGTCAAATTTCTTGTGTGTGCGTTTTTTCCTCCATGGTGCATCTAATCCTCCTTTGGAATAAAAAAGTGCCTCCCCACCTTTTAGTATTTTGTATTGATAAGAATTTAACAGATAATACCCAAGGGGGGGGGGTGTTGGTTTTCATGGTAAATGAACTTATATAACATTCCTTTATAATGAACTTATGAAGACATAATGAGTTGGTAGGGATTAAAATAGCTTTGTGTTGAAAACTACATAGCCTTAGCAGATAGTGCTTTCCTGATCTTGCTTGCCTGAAGTCTCAGGCCTCCCCAGGGCTTGTACCTGCCTCTCTGACCACCTCTTTCTTTCCTCAAGGCCTTTTAAAGTTCATATATTCTCAAATTGGGCAACTTTAGGATGAGAAAAGCAAAGGAGCCATCAGACCCAACCACCTAATTTTTCAAATGAAGAATCAGAAGCTCAAAAAGGCACTGTGATTCTTGTCCAAGGTTACTAGCTAGCAGGTAGCAGAACCAGAACTCAGATCCAAGGCTTGTGGATCCTATCCAGTGCTCTGTGCCATCACCTTCTACCTTCTCGAGAACTCCTTCCTGGGACTTGCAAGTTGCTTTGACTTCTGGATTATGTTGTTGGGTTGTGTCCCAGGAATTAGATTATAAAATAAGAGGGGAAAAACAACAACAACCAAGTGGTGAAGATAGCCCTTGTGCCAACCCCTGTAGTTGGCTCAAGGTCAAGAACTATACAGTCATGAGTTGCTCAGGACCCTCATTGTCTCTCCCTTCCTCAGGCTGCCAACAACCTCATTGTCCTAGGCCGAGAGGAAGCTGGAGCTGAGAGAATCTTCCAGACCAATGGAGTGGCCCTGCTGCTGCAGCTTCTGGATACTCAGAGGCCCGAGCTGGTGCTGGCTGCAGTGCGCACCCTGTCAGGCATGTGCAGTGGCCACCGAGCTCGGGTGAGGCCCCAGTGACCTGGGAAAGGGGGTTCTTGGTGGGGATGGACAGCTACCCACCAGGGATCTGGAGGGTAATGGGTGGTCAGGGGACAAATAGAAACTGATACAGAATATAAAAGGTTTCCCAGTGCCCCGACCTTAGTCTTATGGTGCCTGGTTTAGGAGTGACCAAGACCTTTCCCTTTTGTGCTGGAAACAAGTGTCACTAAGTCACTAGAGTCAGGTTTTTTTTTCTTTTTTTAAGCTTTTATTTTATTTTATTACAAAGGTGATTTACAGAGGGGTTACAGTTACATACATAAGGTAATGAGTACATTTTTTGTCAAACAGTGTTACCCAGTCCCTCATTTTCTCTTACTTTCTCACCCTCTCCATAAAGTCAGGTTATTGAAAGTGGCTTTGGGAAGGGTTGAGTACAAGGTTCTTTTTTCCCCCCTTTTTTGTACCAGTACTAGGTCTTGCAGTCAGGATCTGGGTACTATTCCGTAGCTTTTTCACTCAAGGCTGGCACTCCATCACTTGAGTCACTGGTCCACTTCTGGCTTTTGTTTTAACTGATTAATTGGAAATAGTCTCTCAGATGTGTCACTTGTGCTGACTTTGAACCACAGTCCTCAGATCTCAGCCTTTAGGATGACAGACATGAGCCATTGGCACCAAGCTGCTATTGTTCATTGTAGTTTGAGATTCTGTACTATCTTTTAGATTCAGTGTGTGCCATTCACCGCATCTCAATGTGGTGCAAGGTGGTCTTAGCAAGAGTTTAAAAGTCCTAGGTGGTAGTGGTGGGGAGGGGTTGCTGTATTGGATAGCACAGATCCGAATCTCTAGAAGGAGGTTTCCCAGGCTGAGATCCTGCTCAGGGCACTGGCTGCCTGCACTCATACCCTATCCCATGGAGTGGGGCTGGGGTTTGATACTCCCCACCCCCCAGCCCCTGTCAGAGCAGGAGGGAGGGGCAGAGCCTTTGACTGTGGTTTCTGCTGTACTTAGGCCACAGTGATTCTGCATGCAGTCCGAATAGACCGAATCTGCAGCCTCATGGCAGTGGAGGATGAGGAGATGTCTCTGGCTGTCTGCAACCTGCTGCAGTCCATCATCGATTCCCTGTCTGGGGAAGACAAGCGGGAGCATCGGGGGAAGGAGGAGGCCCTGGTTCTAGGTAAGAGATGTTTTCCGGTTCTGGTTCAAGTGGACTTAAAGGGACAATCAGTTGCCACCTCCAACTGGGCATTTCTGGTGTACCTGGTTTCATTTCTATATATATGTCCTGGCAATAAAAACATGGGAGGCAGCCAGACACTGATGGCTCATACCTGTGATCCTAACTACTCAGGACACTGAGATCTGAGGATTGTGATTTGAAAGTCCATGAGACTCTCATCTCTAAATACCCAAAAAAGCTGGAAATGGAGCTGTGGCTCAAGTGGTGGAGTGCTTGCCTTGAGAAAAAAAAAAAAGCTCAGACCCTGAGTTCAAGCCCCAGGACCAGCACAAAAACAAAACAAAACAAAAACAAAAATATGAGGGGCCCAGTGCAGCATTTGCTGTAGCTAATAGGTGGAAATAAACCGAGTGTCTATCATGGATGATTGGGTAAGAAAAATGATATATGCATGTGATGGAATTTTGTTCACCCTTACAAGCAAGGATGATCTGGCATGGATTGGCCCTGAGGATGTGATGCTAAATGAAGTAAGCCCATCACAACAGGGCAAATACTGTGTGGCTTCACCTACGTGAACTACCTAGAGCAGTCAAATGCACAGAGACAGAGGCAGAATGATGGCTTTTGGGGTCTGGGAAAGAGAAATGGGAGCTGCTGTTTAATGAATAGAGAGTTTCCATTGTGCAAGATGAAAAAAAGTTCTGTGCATGTGTGTACTGGGGGCTCACGCCGGTAAACCTAGCTACTCCAGAGGTTGAGATCTGAGGGTTGAGATTTAAACTCAGTCAGACAGAAAGACCATGAGCGCTTATCTCCAATAGCCACCAAAAAGCTACAAGTGAAACTGTGGCTCAAGTATGCCAGCCTTGAGCAAAAATACATATGCCAAGCAAGAGCACATGACCCTGACTTTCACACCCCAATACCAGCACAAAAAAAGTTCTGTGGATTGGTAATGCCATGACATTGTGAATTTACTCAATGCCACAAAATTGCATACATAAAAATGGTAAACTTTATTTTGCATATACTTATGAACAATTTGAAAAAGGTAACAGAGTCTTATCAGAGAAATTTGGAAAAATTTGGAAATACATAAATGTGAAAAAATTGTAATCATATATTAAAATGACCCTGTAGTCACTACTATGTCCATATGACATTTCTATATTTTTCCATCTATGTCAATGTCAATAGTCATATAAATATCAATTTAATGAAATTGGAATTCACCCTGGGCATTGGTGGCTCATGTCTGTGATCCTAGCTACTCAGGAGGCTGAGATCTGAGTATTGTGGTTCAAAGCCAGCCCTTGCAGAAAAGGCCATGAGATTCTTATCTCCAATCAACCACCAGAAAACCAGAAGTGGTTTGAGCTATAGCTCAAAGTGGTAGAGTGAAAGAGCTCAGAGATTGTGCCCAGGCCCTGAGTTCAAGCCCCATGATCAACAAAAAAATTTAAAAAGTTGGAATTCTGCTATAAGTAGTTTAATTTACTGATTAATGTTACTATTGTATACCATCTAATATTCTTTTTTCTTTGAAACAAGGTATTGCTATATAGCTCAGACTGGCTTCTAATGTTTTCTCTAATTCTTCCCTTAGCTTCCCAAGTGCTGGAATTATAGGCATTCACCACCTAACTCAACATATTTAATATTCTTTTTTTCCCCAGTGTATGTGTGGTTTTTTGCACTCAAGAGTAGCTTTCTACTACTGGAGCTACAGCTCCACTTCTAGCTTTTTGGTGGTTAAGCCAGCCCAGGCTAGCTTTAAACTGTGATCTTCAGATTTCAGCCTCTTGATTAGCTAGGATTATGGCATGAGCCACCAGTTCTTAGATTAAAAAAAAAAAAAAAAACAACTTTCCAAATAGAGGCCTTGGAAGCCTCTGGTTGTACCACAGATCACATGATCAACTCAGAGCCAGCCTGGGGGAGGTCCCAACCAAGAGTGTGAATTCTAGAGTCTTACCTCATTCGTGATAGGAAAGTATAATCTTCCTCAAGTCCTCTGAGAAATAGTGACTTATTGCTGGTCTGCTACAAAATCCTAAAACATATTGAATTCAGATCTGTGTCTCTGTAGCTTGTCACCTTTGGTCCCAATTCTGCACCCTGGAGCCTCACAGAAGGAGTCTGTTATGACGTGGTTTTATCTGAGAACAGAATATCAAGTCCACTGAGGATTCTTCCTTTGTGTGGCAGGGTCCAACTCCTTTTTTCCTCTGTTGTTCATCTGACATGACTTGGAGATCTCTATGTCCCTGCCAGCTGGCTTGTCTTTGAATTCCATCCTAGAATGAGAACTAAAACCCTTCTAGACCTTAGGGAAGTCAGAAAGAGCAAAATTAGGAAAAAAGAAAAAAGCACTTGTCTTTTAATACTCACTAGTTTGGGGGAAGCCCTGGCCCCATAAGCAAAGCTGGCATTTGGGCTCTTGGCATGCCTGGATCTGTGGGAAGTAGAGATTCTGTGTGGAGTATAAATTTCCTTTCTGCAGAATATTTTATTGACCCAGTCTATCAAAGCCATACAAAATATGCCTGGATCTCTGCCAATCATACAAAAGACTTTTTTAAGAACCAGGAGCTGTTATCATAGAAAAGACTGTTCAGATTGGCCAGATGACCCCCCACTTAGGGGTGTTATCTGGGGAGTTTTGTTTTATTTGGGGGATGAGATTGGAAACCCTATCTTCTCCTGGAAGTATCTACATACACAGAAAGCAATGGATTCAGTATCTTCCGAGTCTTTCTAGGAGCTTCTCTCATTCCTGATCCTATCCACACGGGACTTTATCCTTCTATTTGCTCTTATCCTTATTTCTCAGACACCAAGAAGGACCTGAAGCAGATTACCAACCACCTGCTCGACATGCTGGTTAGTAAGAAAGTGTCTGGCCAGGGCAGGGACCAGGCGCTCAACTTGCTCAATAAGAATGTCCCCAGGAAGGACCTGGCCATCCATGACAACTCACGCACCATCTACGTGGTGGATAATGGTGAGGAGGCGGGAGGAGGGCAGGCACCAAGTGAGATTCTTGTCTGTGAGGTCGGGGAATCTTCACCAGTTTAGCTGGTAAAGGTGTAGGGAAACAAAAGGTCTGAATTCTATCTTTCAATACTCTTAAGAAAAACAGGGGATCATAATAACTAGCAAATATACTATATTTTGAAGATGTACTAGACATTCATTGAATGCCAATAGTGTCTCCAGATTAGCTCTAGGCTGCTTCCACACTTTTCCTGATTGGGTCTTCTAGCTTTGTAAAGTAGGGAGTATTATTTCCATTTTGCAAGTAAAGAAACTGAGGCCTTGAGAGAAGACATTATAAAAAAAAAACGGTATGTGAATAGGGTGGTACCAGTGGCTCACATCTGTAATCCTAGTTACTCAGGAGGCCAAGATCTGGAGGATAATGGTTCAAAGACACTCCAGGCATGAAAGTCTGTAAGACTCCATCTCCAATTAATAAACAAAATTCTGTATTCAAGGCATGGCTTAAGTGGTAGAGTCTTAGCTGAGCAAGAAAGCCAAGCAAGAGCATAAGGATCTGATTTCAAGCCCAGTACTGGTGTGTGTGTGTGTGTGTGTGTGTGTGTGTGTGTGTGTGTGTGTGTGTGTGTGCATGAGCACGTGCACACAGGTAGGTTGTACATCACAGAATGATAGCCCTGACTAAGTCCCCAGAGATCAGCTAGTCTGGACTCCCTTGAAAGAATGTGAAACAGAATTGTAGAGGATGAAGGTTACTCATGGTAAGGGCATGGTCACTGGGAGGACCTGGGTCTCTCGGCCCCACCCCAGCGCTCTGCACCAAGGAAGGCTTATGTTGCCTAAAGGCAGATCTTACTGAGGGTAGAAGTATGTTGGTGAAGGTAGAGCCCCACGGGAATCTCACACTTGCCCTTGTGGATCTGCAGGCCTGAGAAAGATCCTAAAGGTGTTGGGGCAGGTTCCTGACCTGCCTTCCTGCCTACCCTTGACGGACAACACCCGCATGCTGGCTTCCATCCTCATCAACAAGCTCTACGATGACCTGCGCTGTGACCCTGAGCGTGATCATTTCCGCAAGATCTGTGAGGAGTATATCACGTGAGTCCCCAGGGGCCTCCCAGGGCTAGCTCTGTGTTAGATTCCTAATTCCCAAAATTAGCCATTTAGAATTGTGGGAATCATTGACTCTCAGTAGCATAGACGTTTGGGAGTGGTTCAGCCAGGTGGTTCTGGTTTGGGCATCTTCCATGAAGTCACCATCTTGAGTTGGCCTGAAGCCTGGTGCCAGTGGCTCGCACTTATAATCTTATTTACTCAGGAAGCTATGATCTGAGGATCATGGTTCAAAGCCAGCCCAAGCAGGAAAGTCCATGAGATTTCTATCTCCAATGAACCATTAGAAAACTGGAAGTGGCACTATGGCTCAAAGTGGTAGAACACTGGACTTGTACAAAAGAGCTCAGAGACATCCCAGGCCCTGAGTTCAAACTCCACAGCCAATAATATATAAATAAATAAATTAAATAAAAACAACAGATAGCTCAGTGGAAGCTACTTCTAATGTTAAAAATCTTTTTTTTAAATCTGGACATAATTTAAATCTACCAGAGGCTCTTATAGTGGACTGGAGTACCGGTGAACTTGTCAGGTGGGAGGTTGGCTCTATCAGGACTTTAGGAAACATGTGACCTTGGAGACTAAGCCAGGCTTTAGGGAGTTCTCAGCAGCCAGGCCACCTAGGTCTTCTCACTGCCACCTGTCACCTCGGATGCTCCTCCTTGTGTGTCCTCTCCTTTCCCCTCTCTTTGTTACATGGCCATTTGACACTTTCCCACTGATTTTCCAGCTTGTAAAATACTGGGATTTCTGGGACACGACCATTGCTCAGAATGAACCATGGCTCAGGAAGCTGAGTATAAGTCCTAGGCAGGTGAAGATCCCACATTTACTCTGCTTTTCCTTCTCTTCCCAGGGCAGAAATCTTTTTGCAAATAGCCAAAAAAGAAGTAGTTTCATCTTTCTTTTCTTTTCTTTTCTTTTTTTTTGGGGGGGGAGGGGAGTCCAGTCATAGGGCCTGAACTCTGGGCCTGGGCTCCGTCCCTCAGCTCTTCAGCTCAAGGCTAGGATTCTACCACTTGAGCCAGTGCCACTTCCAGCTTTTTCTGCTTATGTGGTGCTGAGGAATTGAACCCAGGGCCTCAGGCATGCAAGGCAAGCGCTCTACCACTGAGCCACTTTCCCAGCCCCTTCTTTTCTTTTTATGTCTCTTGAACTTAGGCCTGGGTGCTGTTCCTGGGCTCTTTTGCTCAAGGCTAGTGCTCTATCACTTTGAGCTCCACAGCTCCACTTCTGGTTTTGGGGTGGTTAATTGGTGATAAGAGTCTCACAGGGCTGGGAAGGTGGCTCAGTGGTAGAGTGCTTGCCTTGCATGCATGAGGCCCTGGGTTCGATTCCTTAGCACCACATAAGCAAAAAGAAAAAAATGCCGGAAGTGGCGCTGTGGCTCAAATGGTAGAGCGCTAGCCTTGAGCTGAAGAGCTGAGGGACAGTGCCCAGGCCCAGAGTTCAGGCCCCATGACCGGACCCCCCCCCAAAAAAAAAGAGTCTCACAGACTTTCCTGCCCAGACTGGCTTCAACCCACTATCCTCAGATCTTAGCCTTCTGAATATCTAGGATTACAGGTATGATCCACTAGCTCCCAGCTAGTAGTTGAGTCTTTGCAAGATAATATTTTAAATTTCTATTGCCTAGTTCTTTTTTCTTTTAAAACCCATTAAAATGTAAAACTCTGCTTAGCTCCCCAACTTCGCCAACTCCTGACTATCCCCAGCGTCTACTAGCCCCCAACTTTGATTGACTTAAAGGTTCCTGTGTCTTTGCCTGCCACAGCTTCAGCTATACTAATTTCTGGAGTTCTTCATGAGATCCCCAAGTTCTACAACCTCATGTGGACAAGGGGAGAGTCTGAGGGTGGCTGTGAATGCCACACTATTCCACAGGAGCCCTCGCTGCTAGAAGGACAATCAGCTGACAGCTCTTGACTGTTGTCTCTCTTTGGGACTCCTCAACTGAGGAGTGATGTCTCACCAAGTCAGCCTCTATGACTTGTCCCCACCCCAATCTGGAACAGCTCTGCCAGGCATCCACACTCGGAACTGTTTGAGCTTATTTAAGTGCCTCCCTCTGCCCACATGAGCTTCCTTCTCTTCTTCCTAAGAGTTCTAATAACCTTCCTGAATGTTGGTCCCTGAATCAGAGTGTGTTTCCCAAGGAACCTCTCTGTGACACCTCTGTGGTGTCCTTTACCCTCCCCACAACTCTGAAGAGAAGTAGCCTCAGTTTACAGATCAAGAAGCGGAAGCTTAGTGGATTGTCCAATGACACACAGTGTCTGAAAGAGGATCCAAATCTGTCTGTTTCCATTTTTTGCACGTGCTCATGCCAATAGTGGGACTTGAACTCAGGGTCTTGCATTCTCACTTGGCTATTCCGCCGAAGACTATTACTCTACAACTTGAGCCATGCCTCTTCTTCTGGCTTTTTGGTGGTTAATTGGAGATAAGGGTCTCATGGACTTTTTACCCAGGCTGGCTTTACACTGTGATTCTCATATCCCACCCTCCTGAGTGGCTAGGCTTGCAGGCATGATCAACCAGCACCCAACTTCCCTTGGGCCAATCGTTTTCACAAGCCTTGCCCTCTGTTTTAGGGGCACATTTGACCCACAGAACATGGACAAGAATGTGAATGCCATCCAGACGGTGTCGGGGATCCTGCAGGGGCCCTTTGACCTTGGCAATCAGCTGCTGGGAATGAAAGGTGTGATGGAGATGATGGTGGCGCTGTGCGGCTCAGAGCGTGAAGCAGACCAGCTGGTGGCTGTGGAGGCACTCATCCATGCCTCCACCAAGCTCAGCCGGGCCACCTTCATCATCACCAATGGGGTGACCTTACTCAAAGAAATCTACAAGACCACCAAGAATGAGAAGATCAAGATCCGCACGCTGGTGGTGAGTGGGCTGGCTACCAACCACCCTCCAGTATAGGTACCAGGCACCATAGCACCAGTACCACACACGGTAACAGACATGGTACCTAGTGAGAGCAAGAAGAGTGAGGCGTGGCCCATCCTGAGGGGACCATGCACCAGGAGCCGCTCATGCCCATGCATATGGCTGGGCAGAGAGACAGAGATTCAGAAAGGTGGACCCTGAGATTAACCCATTCTCATGCTGTGAAGGGCGCTGAAATGATTTATCCAGAAAGTACTTCTGGAGCAAACACTAGCAACTCAATTTCCTTAACCAGCTTTTACAAGACACAGCTCAAACTGGTTATCTTTTTATTTTATTTTTTCCGCTTTTCATTTTTACTGTGATTATTTTCATGGATCTTTTCTTTATCTTGTAAACAAGGACAGGGGTTTAAGTAAGTCATTGATTTGTTTCTTTAAAAAAAATCCATACCAGTAGGGTACTGGTGGCTCACACCAGTAATCCTAGCTACTCAGGAGGCTGAGATCTGAGGGTTGCAGTTCAAAACCAGCCCAGACAGGAACGTCTGTAAAACTCTTATCTCCAATTAACCACTCAGAAAACTGAAAGTGGCGCTGTGGCTCAAGGGGTAGAGCGCTAGCCTTGAGCTGAAGAGTGCAGGGACAGCATGCGGGCCTAGAGTTCAAGCCCCACGACCAACCAAAAAAAAATCCATATCAATTTTTTGGCTTGTTTTGAGACAGAATCTCACTCTGTAGCCCAGGGTAGACTCAAACTCAAGATTCTCCTGGGGGTTATAGGTGTGTTCCACCATGCCCAATTCAGGCATGAATTACTGGCCGGAAGACATGGCTAACATCTGTTCTCCCAGCTACGTGGGATACAGAGATAGGAGGATGGTGGTTCAAGACTAGCCCAGGGGAGAAAAAGAAAAAGTTATTGAGACACTATTTAAAAAAAAAAAAAAGCAGAGTGAGGTGGATTACATCTTTAATCTCAGCTACTCAGGAAGCAGAGGTAGGAGGAGCATGGACTTAGGTTAACCCCTAGGGAAAAGCTGAAGACTAAACTAACGTAGGGTATATGGCTAAAGTTGCAGCGTGCCAGTCTATCAAGTGCAAGTACACAGTGCCCCCCCCACACACAAAACACATAACTAATTTTTACTTTGGCCATGATTTCTGGACCAGTCTGTGCCACTATGGTTCTTTCAAAATGTCTGTGAGACCAGAATAGAGAGGTGACCAGCTTCCGGTTTGAAGGCATCCCCCCCCTAAGAAATCAGAAGGGGGGGCTGGGAAGTTGGCTCAGTGGTAGAGCGCTTGCCTTGCATGCCTGAGGCCCTGGGTTCGATTCCTCAGCACCACATAAGCAAAAAGAAAAAAGCCGGAAGTGGCGCTGTAGCTCAAGTGGTAGAGCGCTAGCCTTGAGCTGAAGAGCTGAGGGACAGTGCCCAGGCCCAGAGTTCAGGCCCCATGACCGGACCCCCCCGCAAAAAAAAGAAATCAGAAGAGGGGTCCCCTGAGGAAAAGTATGTGTCCCAGGAGAGGCAAACTGGACAGTAGGGGACCCATGGAGCAAGACCTGGCCCTAGCTCTGGGGCCTGATCTGCATACCCATCTGCTCTCCTGCAGGGACTCTGTAAGCTTGGCTCTGCCGGCGGCACTGACTATGGTCTCAGACAGTTTGCTGAAGGGTCCACCGAGAAGCTGGCCAAGCAGTGTCGAAAGTAAGAGAGTTGTTCCTCCGGGTCCCGTGTCTCCTCTTGGACCTCTGTTGTGGAGGGGGTGGGGACTCTGGGCCATCTCTGAGGCAGTGGACATTGGATAATGTGAAGTTCTTCACCTCTGCTTACAATCCTGAAGTCATTTCTGTCTTTACTGGAGGCCTTTACCTTCTGTACCATCTCTCCCTCCTCATTTCTCCCTCCTCACTTCAGATGGCTGTGCAATTCTACCATAGACACTCGGACCCGACGCTGGGCTGTGGAGGGCCTAGCCTACCTCACACTGGATGCTGATGTGAAGGATGACTTTGTTCAGGACATCCCTGCTCTGCAGGCCATGTTCGAGCTGGCCAAGGTGACCTCAGAGAAGGGCTCTTGCACCTAGGCCCAAGGGGATTGGATGGCTACATCATCATCCTGACTCTCCTCCCTCTCTCCTGCATAAAACTGCATTGGTTCCTTTCCTTCTTTATGATTTTCATCCTACTTGGCTTATAGGTGGACTTGTAGTGCTTCCTGCCTTTTTGGCAGAGGGAGGGTGAGCAAGAGGATGGTATATCTGCCTATAGCCCATAGGAAGTGAGGCCCTGTGAACTATCCCCTTCCTCCAAGGTAGTGCCTTACCACCTCTGGAGCAATTTCCACTAAGACCAGATTCAGGTCTAGCTCCCAGCCAGTCCATACCCAGGTGCTAGAACTGGGTTTGTAAAGGAGCTACAAAGCTAGGAGCTGGGTATAGACATTTCTGGTCACTCTCTCCAAGGTGATGTTGGTTTTATGAGTAGGGCAGACCCTTGGTCCTCTGTGTCACAAGGATTTCTCCACAATGAGCTCCAAAACCCACTGGCTCCCAAGCTTCTGTGTTCCTATGGGCCTTCTAAGCAGAAGCCAGATCCAAATTTCTGTTCTCTCTCCTCCAGACCAGCGATAAGACCATCTTGTACTCAGTGGCCACCACCCTGGTGAACTGCACCAACAGCTATGATGTCAAGGAGCTCATCCCAGAGCTGGTACAACTTGCCAAGTTCTCCAAGCAGCATGTGCCTGAGGAGCACCCAAAGGTGGGTTACTGGGGGCCCTGAAGGGGATGGGGGTGCTGTGCCACCACACCTCCAGAAGGAGTGGATTGGAAAAAAAATGTGTAGTGCAAGTATGAGAGGATTGGATCAATCAGAGATGATTCTGGTAAATTTCCCCACCAGGTGGCACTTATGTCTATCTTTGTTTTAATTTTCCATCTTGGAAAAGAAACACTCTTTTTTCTCTATTAAGCATATGGAGCTGTGATGAATGGTTCACAATTTATGTAGTCAATTTCATGGCTGTGAGACCATTTTATCTTGTGCTTCAAGGCTTATAAAACTTTGAATTTTGGAGCTATCTGGAGTTGGGGATATGAGTGCTGAGTAGGAATAAAAGAAAAGAAGGCTAAGGGTCAGCATTTGCCCAGAGGTTACAAATCCTCTGGAGGTCACAAGGTATGATGATTTCCTGTATACCAGGGCAACATTTGAATATTATCTGCATATAAATGTATCTTCAAATCATTTCCAGCCAGGAAGATCAATTTCAATGTTTGAAGATAGATGGACAAGAGAAAATAAACCAGGCACTGATGTGATCACGTGACCACTGCTAATATTTGACATATTACCCACCAGAGCCTTTCTTTTTTTTTTTTTTTTTAATTTTATTTTATTTTATTTGAGAACATACTGTACAGAGGGGTTACAATTACATGGGCAGGATAATGCATACATTTCTTGCCAAGCATTGCAGCCTCCTCCTTTGTTTACCCTTCACCTCCCTTCCCAGACTCCCCCCTCCCTCCCACCCAATCATACCCCCCCTACCAGAGCCTTTCTTTCCTTGAACATCTTTTCTTCCTTCTATACAGTCACAATCAGAATGGAATTATTTTGTGCCAGGTTTTGGGGGTAAATAGTGTTTTCCACATTGCTATCTCATTCTCTGAAGCTTTTCTTTTTTGGTATCAATACAGGGACTGGAACTCAGGACCTGGGTGCTTGCTGTTCCTGAGCTTTTTTGCTCAATGCTAGCATTCTACTATTTGAGTCACAGCTCCACTTCCAACTTTTTGGTGATTAATTGGAAATGAGAGTCTCTTAGACTTTCATGCCTGGGCTAGCTTTGAACTGTGATCCTCAGATCTCAGTTCCCCCTGAGTAGCTAGGATTATAAGCATGAGCTACCAGCACTGGCTATGAAAAGCACAATTTTGATTTTACCTTTTTTGTTTGTTGCAGGGATTGAACTCAGGGCTTTGTTTTTGTCCTTGAGCTTTTCTGCTCAAGGCTAGCACTCTACCACTTTGTACCACAGCTCCACTTCTGGTTTCTTGGTGGTTAATTGGAGATAAGAGTCTCACAGACTTTACTGCCCAGTTTCAGCTTGAACAGTGATCCTAAGGTCTCAGCCCCCTGCGTAGCTAGGATTACAAGCATGAGCCACCAACTGGCTATGAAAAGCACAGGTTTCAATGTTAAAATTCTAGGAGAAGGCTGGGCGCTGGTGGCTCACGCCTGTAATCCTAGCTACTCAGGAGGCTGAGATCTGAGGATCACAGTTCAAAGCCAGCCCGGGCAGGAGAGACCGTGAGACTCCTATCTCCAATAAACCACCAGAAAACCGGAAGTGGCGCTGTAGCTCAAGTGGTAGAGCGCTCGCCTTGAGCTGAAGAGCTGAGGGACAGTGCCCAGGCCTAGAGTTCAAGCCCCACGACCAGCAAAAAAAAAAAAAAAAAATTCTAGAAGTCACAATCCAGGTAGCAGCAAGGCTGTTCCTTCTGGAAGCTGAGGGGAGGGAGCATCTATGTTCTTGACTAGATTTTTGTTGTTGGTGGTGGTGGTCGTGGAGCCTGAATTCTGGGCCTGGGCATTGTCCCTAAACTGTTCAGCTCAAGGCTGGCACTCTACCACTTGAGCCACAGTGCCACCTCTGGCTTTTTTCTTTTTGCTTATGTGGTGCTGAGGAATCGAACCCAGGGCCTCAGGCATGCAAGGCAAGTGCTCTACCACTGAGCCACTTTTCCAGCCCTGATGGATTAGATGTTTTTTTGTCAGTCGTGGGCCTAAACTCTGGGCCTGGGTGCAGTCCCTCAGCTCTTCAGCTCAAGGCTAATGCTCTACCACTTGAGCCGCAGCGCCACTCTCGGCTTTTTCTGCTTATATGGTGCTGAGGAATTGAACCCAGGGCCTCATGTATGCAAAGCAAGCACTCTACCACTGAGCCACCTTCCCGGGCCTCATGCAAGGCAAGCGCTCTACCACTGAGCCACCTCCCCAGCCCTGGACTAGATTTTTATCAGTGGCTTCTAGCTGCCACCTCTGTCCCTTGGCCAGTGCCCTCCAATCTCTCCAGCCTACTTGTCACATCCCAGTACTGACTTCCATCATCTTGCCTTGGGGTTATTTTGTGATTGGGTTGTTCCCCCATAGATAATCTAGGATTATCTTCTCATCTATAAAGCTCCTTAACTTGGTCATCTCTAAAACATCCCTTCGGTCACATAAGGACATATGCCATCACCAGGAACTAAGTTGTGGTCATCTTGGGGGCCAGTTCAACTGTGCATGGGAAGTCAGTCCTATAGCCTCCTATATGGCCTGATGCCCAGGCCCCTCCCCAGCACCACCCTTTTGTCCCCCAGGACAAGAAGGATTTTGTCGACATACGGGTAAAGCGGCTCCTGAAGGCGGGCGTCATCTCAGCGCTAGCCTGCATGGTGAAAGCCGACAGTGCTATCCTTACCGACCAGACCAAGGAACTACTGGCCAGGTGTGGCTTTGGTGGGCTGCAGGGGACAGAGAGACAGGAGATAGAAAATATGGGCACTAAGTGAGGGGTTGGGCTACTGAGCATCCTGGGAACGAGCCATCTTGTGTCGGGGTGTGTGTGTGTGTGTGTGTTACTGTCCATCCTGGCTACTTGTGTCCCTAGAGATGAAAGGCTGGATCTCTGTGCAGACTGGTTGGGAGGAGATAGGTTAGTGTAGTGGATACCATAATGGGGGAGGGGGGGCGGTGGTACACAGGGCTGGTTGTGGTGCAAGCAGTGGCTTGCAGTGGGTAAGCAGACTGGCCTCCAGGAAGGCTTCCTGGCAGTGGTGACCACTCAATGGAATCCTCAAGGGAAGGACAAAAGCTATTCAAATGCAGAGGAGGGAAGGACTCCAGGCAGAGGACACAGCATATGCAAAGGCACCGAAGATGGAAGACAGAGGATGGAGAACGAGGGAATTGTGGGCTCTCCTATAGTATGTCTGGAGCCTGGGATACCTGGGAGGAGGTGATACTAAGACCTGAGAGGAGGCCTGGCTAGACCGATGATCATCTCCATAAACAGTAATAGAGTGGCTCTTTGCAGTCTCCCTTGACCTCGCTTCTGTCCTGGCCACTTATACCCATGCAACATTTCTCCCCCGTATGCTCTTTCCAGGCATGGGTGTGCAAGGTGTGCATGCTGGACTTTCTCTGTTGTCTGGAGTTTTCCAGCTCTGACTAGTCTGAGAACATGCTAAATATTCTCCTTTGTTCTTGGCCTACAGGGTGTTCTTGGCACTGTGTGAGAACTCAAAGGACCGAGGCACCATTGTGGCTCAAGGTGGTGGCAAGGTAATTAGACAAGATCGAGCCCTTGCTTTCCTAGATCGGATCTGCTAGGGAGGAGCACATACTCTGTATGTGTGTACTCACATGTGTGTGCACCCACGGGTCTGCAAGTGGGCACAATCCCGCTTGCCTGGCTCAGGATCACTGCCCCCAAAACCTCCCGGAATAGCCTCTCAGTTATCTGCCCTGTGTGTGCTTATGGTTCCCAATCCAATTTCTGCTTAATATGATGATGCTCTGGTATAGATAGTTTGGATTTTATTTACCCTGCCTGGTAATGATGAAGATGGAGACCCCAGGCTTTTCATAAAAGCTTCTAGTTGTATCTGTGTGTGTGTGTGTCTGTGTGTCTGTGTGCATACATGGGTGCCAGTACTGAGGATTAAACTCAGGGCATTGGTTTTCTGCTTATCTTATTTTGCTCAAGGCTGATACTCTACCGTTAAGCCATGCCTCCAGTTCCGGCTTATTGCTGGTTAATTGGAGATTAGAGTTTCTTGGATTTGTCTACCTGGCTGGATTGGTTTCAAACAAGGATCCTGGGCTGGGAAGGTAGCTCAGTGGTAGAGTGCTTGCCTTGCATGCATGAGGCCCTGGGTTCGATTCCTCAGCACCACATAAGCAGAAAAAAAAAGCCGGAAATGGTACTGTGGCTCAAGTGGTAGAGTGCTAGCCTTGAGCTGAAGAGCTGAGGGACAGCGCCCAGGCCCAGAGTTCAGGCCCCACGATCGGACCAAAAAAAAAAAAAAAAAAATTTCAAACAAGGATTCTAAGCACTCTGCCTCCCGAATATGTAGAATTACAAGCATGAGCCACTAACACCCAGCTTGTAATGGCATTTTGCTTTCCCCTTTCTAGCTGTATAACATGGAGAGAATACTTGCTCTCTAAGAGCCAGTTTCTTCATACGTAAGATGGGGGCAGGGAAGACATTCATTTTTTTCAGAATGTCACAGACATTAAATAAACCATAGTAAAGTAGTACTAGATACACTACACATATATGCTCAACAAAAGGCTGATGCTATAATTAGGTTTAATTTGCTTGGGCAAAAAAGAAAACATCTATTTAGATTATTTTTCTAAAAGCTGATGGAGCCTATGGATGGGTAGGAGAAAGGGATTAAAACCTCCATACGCGGAAGTGGTAGAGTGGCTCAAGTGGTAGAGCACTTGCCTTGAGCTGAAGAGCACAGGGATAGTGCCCAGGCCCAGAGTTCAAGCCCATGACTGACAAAACAACAACAACAACAACAACACACAAAAAAACACCTCCATAGGCATTGGGCACCAGGGAAGAGAATCCGTAATTAAGGATTTAATTATTTTCCATGATACCCACAGAGACTTCTGACCTTCTGATGGCCCAGACAGACAGAGAGATGGCAACTAGAATGGGAGAATGGGAGGAACATCTGGATGTCTATGGCCAAGCAGTGACTCCCATCTTTCTTGCAGGCACTGATCCCTCTGGCTCTGGAGGGCACAGACGTGGGCAAGGTGAAGGCAGCCCATGCTCTGGCCAAGATCGCTGCTGTCTCCAATCCGGACATCGCCTTTCCCGGGGAGCGGGTGGGTCTCTGCATTGAACGGGGAAGGAGGAGAAGGGTCTTTTCTGTTCTTAGGGGACCTGTCCCCTCATCATCCTACTCTGGAGCAGGACATGGTGCTGTCACAGAGAGGACAAGGAATTAGAGATGTTCAGACTCAGGTGGACAGGATCACTGTCCCCAAAAGCTCAATTCTCTCCTTTGTATTATAGAGGAAATAGCCCTGCCTCTCAGCATCAGTGTGAAAATTAAGTCAGACCCCAGGATAGGATGGGATTTGGGAATTGGAAGCTGGTCAGCTGTAACTGTCAAGGACTGGGGAAATGGTTCCCCCTGACCAGAACTGCACCCCATTCCTTACAGGTGTATGAAGTAGTACGGCCCCTGGTGAGTCTCCTAGACACCAAAAGGGATGGGCTTCAGAACTATGAGGCTCTCCTTGGTCTCACCAACCTGTCTGGACGGAGTGAAAAACTCAGGTGAGTAGGGATGTGGATGGGAGGGAGGTGGAGGGGGCAGAATGGAGAGCGTGTCCCATAGTGTTAGGTAAAAATTTCACACACACACACACACACACACACACACACACACACACACATACACATCACAGGTAAAGCTGCTTTTCTCAGAGGTCAGCATGGAAGGCACTGGGTGGCAACAACCACGGGAGGGGCTGGAGCTGGGAAAGACTAGATAGAGAATGGATGCGGCTAGAGGGATGCAGAAGCGTTGTTTCCAAAGTGGTGAGGATACTACCAGATGGACAATGGGGATGACACTGTTGTTTCTTAAAATAGGGCCTTGGGAAGACATACTGGGTTCTCAGTTTCAAGTGGCAAAGACAAAAATAAAAACAAAAAATCCTCAACCCTAACGAGGGTATGATGGAGCATGGCGGCACACACCTGTAATCCCAGCACTAAGGAGACTGGCAGGAGAGTTACAACTTCAAGGCCAGCCTGAGCCATATACTGAGACCCTGCCTCAAAAAGAAGGAGAAAAGCTGGGTGCAGGCAGCTCATGCTGGTTAATCCTAGTTATTCAGGAGGCTGATATCTGAGGATCACGGTTCAAAGCCAGCCTGGACAAGAGTGTCTGTGAATCTCTTATCTTCAATTAACCACCAGAAAACTGGAAGTGGCGCTGTGGCTCGAGTGGTAGAGCGCTAGCCTTGACTGAAGAACTCAGGGACAGTGCCCAGGCCCAGAGTTCAAGCCCCACGACCACCACTACCACCACCACCACCACCAACAACAACAAAAAAAAAAAAAAAAAAGGAAAAAAGCCATCCATAGTGGAACATGCTTGTAAGTCCAGTTACTTGGAAGTGGGGATTGGAAGATCTTGGTTTAATGCCAACCTGGGCAAAAGTTAATGAAACCCCATCTTAAAACCAAGTATGGGGCTAGGAAGGTGGCTCAGTGGTAGAGTGCTTGCCTTGCATGCATGAGGCCCTGGGTTCAATTCCTCAACACCACATAAGCAGAAAAAGCCGGAAGTAGTGCTATGACTCAAGTGGTAGAGCACTAGCCTTGAGCTGAAGAGCTGAGGGACAGTGCCCAGGCCCAGAGTTCAGGCCCCATGACTGGCAAAACAAAAACAAAAACAAAAACAAAAAACCAAGTATGTTGGGCACCAATGGCTCACACCTGTAATCTTAGCTACTCAGGAGGCTGAAATCTGAGGATCGCATTTCAAAGCCAGCCCAGGCAGAAAAGTCCCTGTGAGACTCTTATCTCCAATTAACCACTCAAGAACTGTAAGATGCAGTGTGGCTTTAGTGATAGAGCACTAGTCTTGAGCCCAAGGAGGATCAATGACAGCACCCAGGCCCTGAGTTCAAGCCCTACAACTGACAAAAAACAAATACAAGTGTAAGTTATTTATATCTGTTATCCTACCTACATGGGAGTTGCAGGTAGGAGAAGCAGTACAAAGCTGGTCCAGTTAAAAGAAAATCAAATTAAAAGCAAAAGGATTGGAGGTGTAGCTCAAATGGTAAGGCACCTTGCCTAGCAATCTTAAGACTCTTGAGTTCAAATCCCAGTACTGGAGGGAAAAAATAATCTGAAATAACCAGATTAAGCCAGATTAAGGTTTGGTTTGATACAGAGGTTACAAAGTTGTCCCAAATACTGGTCTTTCCCTCTCCTCCTTTCTATTCTTTGTCTTAATTCTGATGACATTCCCCTTCTCATGGTTACAAGGTAGCTCTTGACCTCACATTTCCTGGGCTTCATAGGAAATGTGATAAGGCAAGAAAGAGTCAGGGAGGGCGGGTGCCAGTGGCTCACGCCTGTAATCCTAGCTACTCAGGAGGCTGAGATCTGAGGATCGTGGTTCAAAGCCAGCCCCAGCAGGAAAGTCCGTGAGACTCTTATCTCTGATTAACCACTAGAAAACCGCAAGTGGCACTGTGGCTCAAACGGTAGAATGCTCACCTTGAGCTGAAGAGCACAGGGACAGTGCCCAAGCCCAGAGTTCAAGCCCCACAACTGACCACAAAAAAGAAAGAGAGGAGGTTGGAGGGGTGGTTCAGGTGGTAAAGCGCTTGCCAATGAGCGAAAGCATCAGATACCAAGTTTGAGGCCCAGCCTCAGACAAAAAAAATAAAATAAAAAAGAGAATTTCTTTTCTCCAACAACAATACAAAATAATTTCTCTTCCCCAGCAATACAAAAGAATCTCCAGGGGGGTGACATGTTCATTCCAGAACCATCACTCAGACCAAGTGGCTTTTTGCCACTTAGTTTGGACCCCTTGTTGTCCCTCCTGGAGCTGGCTCAGTGTCATTCAAACCCTCTTGGCTGAGGATGTGGGAGGGACTCCATGATCAGGGCAGAAAGGCCCTGGGTGGCTGAAATCCCACATGCTCACTGAAGAGGACTCACCATCTCTCTACCTCCACCCTTCACCCCAGGCAGAAGATCTTCAAGGAAAAAGCCTTGCCGGACATCGAGAACTACATGTTTGAGAATCATGACCAGCTGCGGCAGGCGGCCACTGAGTGCATGTGCAACATGGTGGTCAATAAGGAGGTGAGGTGGGCCACAGCCTGGCCAGAGCATGGCGAGGGTAGTAGGGCATGAATGGGGACATGAAGGACCAAGCCAAAGGTCAGACACAGGGCTATTACAACAGCATTAAAGTCAACATTTTGACCCAACTCCACTAAAAAGTCCTTCAGCAAAGTAGCAGAATACAAAATAATCACACACACACACACACATGCACGCACACACACAAATGAATGGTTTTTCTATATATCAAACAATGACCAAGCTGAGAAAGAAATCAGGAAAATAATTCCAATCACAACAGATTAAAAAATAAATACATAGGAAGAAACTTAACTAAGGAGAAAAGAAAGAACCCTACAATTAAAAGTATAAGACCTGAAGAAAGAAGAAGACATTAGAAGTTGGAAAGACCTCCCAGGTTCATGGACCAGTAGAATTAATATAATGAAAATGACCACATCACCAAAAGCAGTCTAGAGATTCAATGCAATTCCCATCAAAAGCTCAATTTCTTTCTTCACAGAAATAGAAAATCAATCCTAGAATTCATACAGAAACATAAAAATCAGGGGCTGGGAAGGTGGCTCAGTGGTAGAGCGCTTGCCTTCCATGCATGAGGCCCTGGGTTACTCAGCACCACATGAGCAAAAAGAAAAAAGCCGGAAGTGGTGCTGTGGCTCAAGTGGTAGAGCGCTAGCCTTGAGCTGAAGAGCTGAGGGACAGCACCCAGGCCCAGAGTTCAGGCCCCACGACTAGACCCAAAAAAGAAAAAAAGAAACATAAAAGTCAAAGTGATCCTGAACAAAATGAGAAACACTAGACATATCACAATACTAGACTTGAAATACTGTTACAGAGTTATAGTACAAAAAAATAGCTTGGTGCAAAACAACCCTGTAAACCAATGGAACAGAAGACCCAGAAATAAACCCACATAACTACAGTCATCTGGTTTTTGACAAAAGGAAAAAAAAAAGCATACATTAGAGAAAAGATACCCTGTTCAACAAACCATGCTGGGAAACTGAACATCCATCTAGAGGAGACTGAAACTAGGTCCCTATCTCTCTGTACAAAAATCTATTCAAGATAGAGCAATGATCTTAACGCATAACTTGAAACCTCAAAACTACTACAGGAAAACACTTGAAGATACAGGCTAGACAATTATATTCTGAATAAGACTCCATTTGCTCAGGAATTAAAAAACAAGAATTGACAAGTGAGATAATATCAAATTGGAATACTTCTGCACATCAACAGACAACCCACACAGAATGGGAGAAAAAAAATCTTTTCCAGCTACTCATTAGATAAAGGATTACTATCCAAAATATACGAAGTTCTAAGAATTAAACACGAAAAGGTCAAATATCCCAATTAATAAATGGGCAGATGAATTGGAAAGTTTTCAGAGGCATAAAAATGGCTAATAAATACATGATGAAATGGTTAACACCTTTTGCCACAAAAGAAATTGAAATAAACATGACACAGAGATTTCATCTCAGCCCAGTCAGAACGGACTCATCAAGAAAATGAACTACATACAGATGGTGAGAATGTGCATGGGGATAGAGAGAGAAGGATCCTGTTACTAGGAATATAAACCACTACAGTCACCACAGGATAGTAAAGGGTTTTATCAAGAAACTAATAATGGACCTGCCTTATGATCCTACCATACCACACTTAGGCAGATACCTGCAAGAACGAGACCTACACACACATCTGAATTGTAGCTCTCTTCTCAATGCCCACAATGTGGAATCTGCCTAAGTACCCAACACCTGATGAATGGATAAAGAAAATTTGGTGTATCTACACAATGGAGTGTTACTTAGCAGGAAAATGAATGGAACTAGAGACCATTATGTTGAGTATGATAAACCAGGCTCAACAAGCTACATTTCTAGCTGGGCTCTGGTGCCTCTCCTCTGTAATCCTAGCTATTCATGAGGCTGAAATCTGAAGGATTACACTTTGTGGCCAGTTCGGACAGAAAAATCAGAGACTCCATCTTCAAAATAACCAACAACAACAACAAAAAAAACCAAACTGTAGGTGTAGCTCAAATGGTAAGCTGCAGCTGAGCAAGCAAGCTGAGTGAGCTCAAGGTCCTGAGTTCAAACCCTAGCACAGGGGTGGGAAGAATATTCAAATATTATGCTTTAGGCTAATAATCAGAATATAGACTTGAAAGGATGATGGCAATAATAATGGGACATGGATGTAAAAGGAGGGCTGTGTTTGTGAGTGTGTGTGTGTGTGTATGTGTGTGTTTAGCAGAAGGTAGGGAAGGTGTTGGGAGATGAACACATATCTATGAAGATAGCATGATAAAACCCACCAGATACTATTTGAAAAAGGAGGCAAGCAGAGCTAAGGGAATCTAGCAGAAAGTGTGAGTTTGATCCAAGTGCGTAATACACATCTATGGGACTCCCATAATTAAATCACCTTGTACAATGAATGTACATTTTTTTAAAAAGTTTTTTTTTCATTATTTAGAGAATACTTTATTAGTTTCTGTAATCAAACCCACGTAGATAAGACCTTACATATTTAATACAGTGCGTTTACCCCTGTACAAATGGAAAAAAATTAAGTTTAACATTTCTAAACCAATATGGCTATTAATTTCTGTACAATGCCAACTCAACACGGTAAACTGGGATACTTTTTCCAAAGTTGACAGCACAGCTAAAGTTTCCAAAAATTCAAATTATATATATGTATATATATATATATTTATATTTATATAAAAAGACCAATAATAGCAGTATGTTATGCACCAATAGCAGTACATTTTAAAAAAAAGTTTAAAAGCTGCCTCCTTCCTTCCATGTTGATGCCATGGAAGAGGTACCTGTAAGCATTTACGCTACGTGGCAGTGCCACACCTCCCCTCTGCTCTCTTCTGACAATAACTAGGCCACAGCTGCCTCAAGGTGGGAGAGGAGGTGGGTTGTGCTATCTTTGGCTGGAAGTTGCTCCTTCTCCAGCCCCTGAACTTTTGGATGGCAAAGTCACTGTTCGACAGACCCTGAAGACCCTGGGTCATGGACGAACCATTCCACGTTCCCCAAAAGGAAGTGACTGACAGGTTCTTCACACATTATCTACCTGAGTCCTGCTTGTCTCTCCCCACCCCTACCCCGGAGGTGTGGATGCCAATACAGGTGGTAGAGCACATTATTTGGAGAATCTCTTATTTTCTTTAACTTTGTAGTTGTGTGTGTGTGTGTTGGGGGGGGGGGGCGGGGGATATTTCCAGCTCCTCCAACCAGCCAATCAGGGAAGTCTTCCTGGGAGATGTAGTATAGACCAGCAGTTCAAAGGAAAACTTCAAGGCCTCCTGGATCAGAGAACTTCAGCTTTATCTTCCCCTCCTCAAAAGGCAACACTGGGGTATGTTTTTTCTCTGAGCATGTACTTCACCATTCCCTCCCTCCCTCACACCACCACCACCAGGTACAAGAGAGGTTCCTGGCTGATGGGAATGACAGGCTGAAGCTGGTGGTGCTGCTCTGCGGGGAGGATGATGACAAGGTGCAGAACGCAGCTGCTGGGGCCCTGGCCATGCTGACAGCAGCCCACAAGAAACTGTGTCTCAAGATGACCCAGGTGGTAAGTGTGGGCCCCAGGGACAAGAAGGCACCCAGATAATCTTCCTGGGAGCTTAATTCCCAAGGTAATCCTTCCCCTAGCCCACTCTGTTCCTATCATCTGAAGAGAGGAAAGTTCACTCTTAAAGCTGCCCTTTGTCTCTTTAACCTCATCCTTTGGGTTTCTGAGTGTGCTAGCTTTGACCTACCCACTCTAGGCTCAGCCTTTGCCTTTGGTGCTGCAAAAATCTCATCACTTAAGAAGCACTGGGTGCTGGTGGCTCATACCTGTAATCCTAGCTACTATTCAGGAAGCTGAGATCAAAGGATCATGGTTCAAAACTAGCTCAAGCAGGAACATCTGTGAGATTCTTACCTCTAATTAAGCACCAAAAAGCTTGAAGTGGCTAGGTGCTGGTGGCTCACACCTGGAATCCTAGCTATTCAGGAGGCTGAGATCTGAGGATCATGGTTTGAAGCCAGCAGAGGCAGGAACGTCCATGAGACTCTTATCATCAATTAACCCCCGGAAAATCAGAAGTGGAGCTGTGACTCAAAGTGGTGGAGCACTATCTGTGAGTGAAAAGAGCTCAGGGACAGCACCCAGGCCCTGAGTTCAAGATCACCACACAAACACACACACACACACACACACAAACTAGAAGTTGAAGCTGTGGCTGAAGTGGTAGAACACTAGCCTTGAGCAAAAAAATCTCAGGGACAGCCTGAAGACCCTGAATTCAAGCCCCAGGAATAGTGTGCACATGTGTGCATGCACATGCGCGCACACACACACACACACACACACACACCAGAATAATAACAGGGACATCCCTGTCCACATCCATCCGTGGTACACTTTCTGCACTGCAGTCTTCCCAAGAAGCATTTCACTACAATGACACAATGAGGCAGAGCACTGTTAGATGAAACTCCTGGGGCTGAGAAAGAGCAGGTAACACTTGAGGTCCTGCCCATGGGACCAAGCTAGAGCCTCAATGCTGGTGCCTCTGGCCCTAGTTCATATGGATAGCCATTATCTTCAGTTGCCTTCTGTGCATCTGCTGAAGAATCCAACAGCCTCGTGGAGCTACTCTCAGCCTTGTCAGGGTGCTCCAGAGTCCTGCCTCCCCAAACTCTGCATGGTGGCTAGAGGAGCATGGAGAAGATTCACTCCAGACTCTTGTGTTGATTCCAACCAAGACTAAAGAGTATGCTTGTATGCCTGGAGCTCTTGTCTCAAAGGGCACCTGGCTTAGTTTGTACCCAGGGTAATGATCTTTTCTGAACACTCTTTATCACCATTCTGCTCAGGCATGAGCGGACCTATCTCTTTGCTTGTCAAGAGATAGATGCCAGGTACTGGTGACTCACACCTGTAATCCTAGCTACTCAGGAGGCTGTAATCTGAGGATCAAGGTTCAAATCCAGCTGAGACAGGAAAGTCTATGACACTCTTATCTCCAATTAACCAACAAAAAGCCAGAAGTAGAGGTGTGGTTCAAATGGTAGAGTAAAAAAACTAAGAGAGAGCACATAGGCCTTGAGTTTAAGCTCTTGGACACACACACACACACACACACACACACACACACACACACACACACACACACACACACACACAGAGGAATAGATGGAGATACTAATCCTCTTCCAAATATGTGGCATAACTCTGTTACCTAGCTGTTGGCTTGACCATATACTTGCTCTTTATGTTGTCCTCAGATTTCCTTCCTCTGTATTCCCACTGATTTCTGGAAACCTTCCTTACCTGCTTCTCTTATTCCAGACATCACAGTGGTTGGAGATTCTGCAGCGACTCTGCCTGCATGACAAGCTGTCTGTGCAGCACCGGGGCCTGGTCATTGCCTACAACCTGTTGGCAGCTGATGCTGAGCTGGCCAAGAAGCTGGTGGAGAGTGAGCTACTAGAGATCTTGACCGTGGTGGGCAAACAGGAGCCTGATGAGAAGAGGGCAACAGTGGTTCAGATAGCCCGGGAATGTCTCATCAAGTGCATGGATTATGGCTTCATTAAGCCAGTGTCATAGTTAGGAGTCCACAGAGATGTTGGGGCGGGTCCTGTACTGTGTAGACTCCTGAGCTGGGAAGTTCCTGGAGTGTGAGTTCATCTATAAGGAATCATAGCAATGGCAATGAAGTCTTAATAGAAAGGAAGGACTTGATTGTCCCTTGAATTGTGAATCTTGAATTGAATGTTTCACTGGCATCCTTACTTCCTGCCTCTGTACATGTCCATGGTCTAGAAATTTCTAGAATAACTCTCATCATGATGGGGTTGGGGTTAGGGAAATAATTCATTCTGTACCCATTCTAAGTCCTACTTCATGGGCTGAAGTTTTTTTTTATATTTTGGGAAAATGGATTGTGTGGAAAGGTAGGAGGGAACAGGTATGTGTCTGTAAAGATTAGCACCCGGGTTGAGTTTGGATGCTAATCTGTGCTAGCTCTCCTGTTCTGAACTGCATGCCTCACCAGCAGGGCCCTGTCCCAGCCTTCTCCCCATCCAGTTACCCAACTATCATGGAAACCTAATTCATGTTCACCAGTATGACACTATCTTGGCAATTTGCTTGGGAAAGTCTTCTAACCAAGATGGACATGATGAACATATATAAGGACAACTCTAATAAAAAAAGATATAATTCATTGATGCTCACATCTTAGCCACTCAGGGAAAGATGTGACATTGTTAGACCCAGTGCTTCAAATACTATCAGTATTATTCTCTCTGTATGTGTCTTTTTTCTCCTTCTCAGCTCCCAACCTAAGTCCCAACTTTGATTTCCTTTGGGTTGACTTCATTTCCTGACAGCCCTCCTCTCTGGAGTTTAGCAGCATCAGACTTACATACTTGTTATCGTTTATTATAGAAGAGAATTAAACAATAAACAATTCTTCATGGTCTCAGCAGACCTGAAAACCCCCCCGGGATCGTTGATTTGCCTAGATTGGGTCATTTTCTTATCCTTGATCCAATGATATCCAGAGATTGATGGTTAAGACTAAGTTGAGAGAGAGATTGCATCCTTCTCCAGTTGACATAAACTGACTAGATTACCAGGCGATGGAAAAGAGGTGTTCCCACAAAAGAATGCATATTGGGCAGATGAAAGACTATGTTCTGTACATTAGTTCAGCCACAGAAGAATGACACAGGTAATATACTTATAGATACAAATTTCTCAATAATACTGCAGTTCCCATAGGGTTCAGATAATTATGGTAGAGTATGTCACTCCAGGATGTCCTAATTCTACCCATACTTATTGAAGACTCATTCTGATATCAACCTTGGGTAGAGGTCAGGGCATTCAGATTTATGGTTCTTGATTAAAATAATTAAAATTATTCAATACAATAAATATAATTACATATGCATGAAATAGCTAGAAGAGAGATAGATTTTTGGAAAGTTATACTATTAGGAGATGGAGGAAAATCTTAACATCATACCCCATTCCATCCCTGCCAGAGAGAACGGGGGGGGGGGGGAAATCAGGAGAATCTGAGTTTCTCAGAGGTTTCCTTTGTACTAACAATACTCCAAACAATCTTTGCTAACTCTTGCATGAGCTTCTTTTCACTGCACAAAAGTATGTTCATTATTTCCTTCTTCTGATGGATTGCCAACACTGAGATATGGCCTTTTCTGAAATATACACGTTTGTTAGTAGTAAATGATGTGATTTGGCCTGTGTCCAAATTCTTCTTTTCTTCTCTCTCCATATTTAGGGTTGAATGGGTGTGTTAAGTTCCTTATATGGGAGGACATCTCTGAGAGATAGGACCACTGCCAAACTCATTTCCCTCTCATAAGGTTAGAACCCACATGGCATTCTGTGCCAGTTGGATAAATTTTATTTGGGTTGGAGAGACCACATTTTTTTTTCTAAAACAAAACCAAACCACCAACTCACTTTACTTCTTGTTAAATTCTTGGGGGAAATATGGCTATATGGCTTCCTCGTCCAAGTCCATGGCAGGAAGTTTGCTTCAAGATTTAACAAGGACCATGCCACCATTTCCATGAGCATGAATTATGTTTCTCCAAATTGCTCTCATTTTGTTCAGTTTGTTGTCGGGAGTCACTGTAATCCTGCATTTGGGAGAAGGCTGAGACATGAGTATCCAGGGTTGGAGGCCAGCAGCCTGAGCTTCACAGATCTCTCTCTCTCTCTCTCTTTCTTTCTCTCTCTCTCTCCCTCCCTCCCTCTCTCTTCTTTCTGTCCTTCCCTCCTTCCCTCCCCCTCCCTTCTTTCCTTCCTCCCTCCCTCCCTTCCTCCTTTCCTTCCTTCGTTCCTCCCTTCCTTCTCTTTCTCTTTTCTTTCTTTCTTTCTCTTTCTCTTTCTTTCTTTCCTTCTTTCTTTCTCTTTGTACACATAAGCACATACCTTCCTCAAGGGGAATACAGTCTCAGTTTTGAGAAAAACCGAAAGGGGTATCCCTTTGGTTCCGGAGACCTTGCTTGTCACCAGCAAAAAAAAAATGACCTCATATCACACCTTCCTGTCACATTTGCCTTCTAGAAGTTCTGTTCCCAGAAGGCCACCAGAGGCTCCAAGATGGTAGAGAAAAAACAGACTACATTTTTAACATAATTTTTTTTTTGCCAGCAAATATTCCAAAAAGATCCAGGGGAAGCCAATAAGCTTGGGAAGGAAAGTGAGTTCCTTAATCTGACATTCACCATTAGATTGTTTCCCATGGTCTGGCCTCTTCATAGAGGCCTTTAAGAAATACTGTGAAAATTCGGGCTCCCATGACTCAGGAGGTAGAGGTAGAAGGATTGTAATCCAGGGCCATTCTGACAAGAGTGCGAGAGCATAAATCAAAAGGATAGGGGCATGGCTTAAGTAGTAGAACACCTATCTAGTAAGTCCAAGGCCCTGGATTCAATCTCTAATACCATTTTTTTTAATGCTAGAAGAAATAAACTTTGTTTCCCACTGCTTTGGTGATCGAAGTGATTAGTTTTTCCAACTGGAGTGGAGTCACTTTTTCTTTCTGGCCACAGGTAAGAGGGCTGTATCAGTTACTTTCTCCTGTCTGTGACCAAGATACCTGAAAGAACAGTTTCAGAGGGTCCTGAAGTGCAGCGTGGCCTGGCCCCATATGTGTAGGCAGAGCACCATGGCAGCAAGAGAATGAGTGAGAGGAGCTTCTCCACCTCATGGTAGACAGGAAGCCAAGAAAGAAGAAAGGACTGTAGACCAGTGAGGCACTCCAAAGGGATACCCTTAATGACTCATTTCTTCACCTCCTGAAATCTCTAGAACTTATGAAGATGTCACCAACTGGAAACCAAGGATTCAACACATTAACCCATGGGGAGCATTTCATATTCAAATCACCACAAAGGCTCTACTTAGCAGAGGTCTATTTCTTTTCATCCATACCTTGTTTCACTTTGTACACATAAGTACATCTCGTTCTCGAGTGGAATACAGTCTCATTTCAGGCATAAACACCTTCAATTTTGAGAAGAACCGAAAGGGTCTCCCTCTGAGTACTTACTAGCAAGATGGATCCCTAAATATCTGGTTAACTGTTTGATGATGGATTCACTTCCCCTCACAGGCACCGCCAAACTGCAATAATGCCTGCAGCTGCAAGCAATGGAATCTCAAGAACTGTGAGCTAACCAGACCTCTTTATTTTGATAGCCTACCAGTTATTTTGTTATAGTAATGATTCATGAACAACAGACAATACAGCTGGTTCAGAATACCCCAACTCCAACCTGGTACTCTGCATTTACAACCAGCAAAACAGGAAATGGACCGTGCAGAGATTAGTTGATTGGTACAGTTGTTTTGCTTTATTTGCACAAAATCTGGCATCCTTCAGTTTGTGATTGGCTAAGGGTTCTCCCATCCTAGGATTGGATGCTCCAATTGGCTGAGGCTCAGTTGCTCAGGTAACAGGGTGTACAATTTGCTCTTACATCTAGAAAATACATAGTTCACTGTTTATGGAGGTCATTTTGGAACACATTTGGAACACATTTTGAAATACCTTTTCTGGATTAGGTCAAACTTGATGTTCCTATGACCACAGTTGATGTCAAAGGAAGGCTGGGAAATAGCACTTTTTATTTCAAGTTGTCATGTGCTCAATTAAAATAGGAAGTATAGGGGCTCCGAATGTGGCTTAGTGGTAGAGTGTTTGCCTAGCATGCATGAAGCCTTGAGTTCAACTCCTCAGTGGCACATACACAGAAAAAACCAGAAGTGGCGCTGTGGCTCAAGTGGTAGAGTGCTAGTCTTGAGCAAAAGCAGCTCAGGGACAGTGTCTAGGCCTTGAATTCAAGCCCTGGACTAGTAAAAAAAAAAAAAAAAAGGAAAGTATATGTAATCAAGTGACAATTTAGCTGTCTCTTGTGTGAATCAAAAGTAAAGAGAATTGAGGCAGGCTACAAAAAAGGAAAAAAATCATAACACACGATCTAGAACATTCTGGCTAGGAAGTGAACAAAATGTGTGGGTAGGATGAAAATATAGAAGACAGGAGCTAGGAATGTGGCTTAGTGGTAGAGTGTGTGCTTGCTTGCCTAGCATGCATGAAACCCTGGGTTGGATTCCTCAGTACCACATATACAGAAATAGCCAGAAGTGGCGCTGTGGCTCAAGTGGTAGAGTGCTAGCCTTAAGCAAAAGAAGCTCAGGGATAGTGTGCAGGCCCTGAGTTCAAGCCCCAGGACTGGCAGAGAGAGAGAGACAGACAGACAGACAGACAGACAGACAGACAGACAGACAGACAGACAGACAAGAGAGACAAGAGAGACAAAGAATATAGAAGGAGACATTTATGGTAGAAAATTAAGTAGATAAAATCTTGTGTGTGTGTGTGTGTGTGTGTGTGTGTGCGCGCCAGTTTGGGGCTTGAACTCAGGGCATGGGCACTACTCTGAGCCTTTTTGCTCAAGGCTAGCTCTCTGCACTTGTACCGCAGCTCCACTTTCAGCCTTGTTGGTGCTTAATTGGAGATAAGAATCTCATGGACTTTCATCCCCAGGCTGGCATCAAACTATGATCCTCATATCTCAGCCTCCTGAATAGCAAGGATTACGGATATGAGCCACTGGCACCTAGCACAAAATTTTACTATAATACCTTTTCTAGACAGTTCCTCTCCCCAAGCTATCACTATCTTCGAAATTTTCCCCACCATTGTTTCTACTTTGCT